TTGATTTAATATGTTCCTTAAATGTTTAGAAGAATTCACCAGTGAGGCCATCTGGACCTGACTCATTTATTTGGTAAGGTTATTAATTACTGATTCAATTTCTCTAATACAGGCCAACTGAGACTGCTCACTTCATGTATGACATTTTGTAGATTGCACTTCCAAGAATTGGTACAGGGCCAGGGATTTAGCTCAGTGGTTCTGCTGGCTGCCTTGCAAGAGTTAGTACATTTCCTTGAGGTTTTCAGACTTACAGTCAAGATTTGCTCATAGTATTATTTTATTTTACTTTTGTTTATGGGATCTGTAGTGATGTTTTATTGAATTTTTTTGATTTTCTGTTTTCAATTTCACTAATATCTGCCTTAAATTTTATTATTTTCCTCTTTATTTTGGATTTAATTGCTGCTTCTTTTAACTAGATAATGAATTTTAGATCACTCTTCTTTTGTAATACATGCATTTAATATTATAAATTTCTTTTTGTTTTTTGAGACACAGTCTCACTATGCAGTTCAGGCTGGTTTTGAACTCATTATGTAGCCGAGGCTGGCCTTGAACTCTCAGTGATCCTCCTGCCTCAGCCTCCCGAGTGATGGGATTACAGGCGTGTACCACCATGGCCAGTGATAATATAAATTTTTAAGCATTGCTTTCGTTTCATTCTACAAGTTAGGTTGCATTGTCATTTGGTTCAAAATATTCGTTACAGTTTAATGTATTTAAATAGCCAACCTACAGGAATAACACAAAAGACAGATAAAATTAATAACATAGCATGTAGAACATCTCAAAATATATAATGAATGGATGGAATCTACCATATGATAAAAATGCTGCAAACACCATTTAGTTGCTGTAAATATGAAATTTATTTTTTTGCAATCTAAGTGCTGCCACTGTCCAGAAAATTAATGTATTTATTTATAATTGTTATAAAGTTGAGCTGCTGAAACTTGTTCCCTGAAACATTTTGATTTGTACTAATGCTTTACATCCCTGCATTAAAATTCAAAATTCACACATAAATGAAAATGGAAAAACTGCCAATACTTAATTTCTGTCCTCTGTTTTTCACTCGCAGTCATGTACGTGGGAATCTTTTGACCCCATGGGGGGAAATATATCTAGTGTTCAGAACTATCAATAATAGGAAGAAGAGAAAAAAGTGGCGAATGAAATGTTTCCCATCATAGTGGATTCCTAAGCGATTCAGCACGAGGGCGGCATGCTAAGTGGCTGTCCTGTGGCGTAATTGTTGCATGGTTGACACAGCACACAGGTTGGTACCTTCAAACAGGCCCACCCGGACAAGCCTCGCTTTTCTCCTGCAAAGCACCAATAGCTCCGCTCTGAAAGCGCAGATTTGTTTTGAAGTCCTGAGCATTTTCACACACCGAATGCTGGAAAGGGAGCTTGTGGATCAAACGTTAAAGAGGACTTCCGATAGCATCTTCTTTTCACAGAGTGCCTTGGCCCCAGGCCTGGAACGAAGAGGTTTCTTCACCCATCCAGTAGAGGGCGGGCTCTTACCAGCGGCTTTTGTAGCCAGGTGTTTCTAAAATGCTGCAGTGCTGGTGTTTGAGCGCAGTTCACTTTGCAGGAGGCCTTGTGCGGACTTGGACTCGGTTACTGAACCCCTTCGCCTTCTGCTGAGGCTGGAGGAGGGGGCGCTGGGGTTAGAGAGCCACTGGGGTGGGGGGAGCAGGTGCGAACGCCTGATTCAAAATATTTTTAAATTTCCTTTAAGAGTCCTCTTTAACCCATGAGTTATTTAAAAGCATGCTATGTGGTCTCCAAATATTTGAGGATGTTCCAGATATCGTTCTGTTATTTCGTTTTAGTTTAATTCTCTTCTGGCCTGGAAATATACGTTGTGTTTCTTTCCTTCATTTTTTTAATGTATTCAGGTGAGTTTTATGACCTTGAATATGCTTTACTTTGTTGTATGTTCCATGTAACTCAGAGAAGAATGCGTATTCCACTCTTGTCAGATGAAGCAATGCAGGGATGTCACTTATGTCCAGTTGATTTGTAGTGCTATGGAGTCCAAATATGTCTTTAATGATTTTTTTGCCTGATGGGTTTTTGTTTTTGTTTTTGTTTTGTCTTTTCAATACTGGAAGTTGAAACCAGGACCTTCCCTGAGCTCCATCCCAGCCTCCCTCTACCTTTTTTGTTTTGTTTTCTTCCAGAGACAGGTGCTCACTAAGTTGCCAAGACTAGGCAGGAGCTTGATGTCTTATTGCTTCACCCTCCCAAAGTACTGAGATTGCAGGCATGGCAAATCTACCCATTTCTGACAGAGGTGTGTTGAAGTGTCTGTGATCTATTTCTCCTTGCAGTTTTATCTGTTTTGCCTCGTGTATTGATGCTCTGTGTAGTTTGGCAGTATACATAAGGATTGTTATATCTTCATGGAGAATTCATCATCTGCCATGCTCTTTTATTACTTATAATTTTTCTTGCTCTAAAACCTGTCCTGTCTGAAATTATTTTTTCTTGACTTACTATGAATGACATTACTTCACTTCATAAATAAACTTTAGTTCCTTTTTAGTACATCCATGAAAATTAAAACTAAAATGAGCACTGCACATGTGAAATTTTAGGAATGTTATAATACTAGACACAAAATCTGTCTCACAATCTTCCCAGCATCTTAGAGGAAAAAAATTCAAACAGCAGAAGGGGGCAGTAAAACTCAACAGAACGCTCTGGAAAATTTTAATATTCTTTATTTTTTTCTTCATACAGAGTTTCCCAAAAAGTTTCAGAGACTAATAAAGGAAATTCTGTAAAACAGACACATGTATGCCTAAAATACAAACAGAAATATAAAATTGAAAGCTATAATTTTTATATAATCAAAATTTTATTCGTTATCATGCTTGATAATCATTGCACTTTTCTAAATAAAACAAGTTTATTCATTTAGATCCCTTTGTTTCTTCATTTAGAGCTCAAAAATGTACCTGTTCATTTTATTTTATCATTTCAAACTTGTCAAAATTATGTAATAAATTGTATAATAATGTTTTTCTCCTTAAGCCCATGTTTGGATTTCCTTTCAAATCTGATCTCATCCTTAAAGTCTCAGCTGTTCTTTGAATTCTTTTCTAATATCATAGGTACACAAAACTCTCATTTGGTTTTGCTATTGAAGTTACAAATTAAAGCGAGCTAGTTAAATAAGTAGATGTTTAAAAATGAATTTTCACTGTGATAGTCAAATTCTTTAAATTCTAAGTAATCCAAGTATGATTTTCTATGCCCCCATTTTTCTTGACCCTTGAATCCATAATCTCTTTTACAAACAACAGAACATACTTCTATACACTAAACACACAACTAAGGTCTGATAAGGATAATGATAATGATGACTTCAAAATCAATTCAACTTTTCAAGAAGTTGAGGCAGGAGGTGTGAGAGTTCAAAGCAAGACTTCATCTTTTAAAAAAACCAGTTCAGGATTGCCAAGTAAAGTTGTAGTACACTGTCAGGGTATGGATTCTCATTTGGCATCTAACTCAACCTAGAACTAGTGAAGCTAATAAACTAAAATAAACTTAAATTTTGAGTAGATGAAACCTGCTCAAAATGAAGCAGAATGTTGGAATCATTAAAAAGAAAATGTTTAATTGAAATTCCAGATAGGAATCAATGCAATGAAAGGGAGTGTCACAAATGGAATGATTAAATATGACTAGAAGACAAAGCTTCCTAGATGAGATGGAATTTTAGTCATAGGTGTCTCATGTAACATCCAATAATGGGTACTTTAAGTAAAATGGTTAAAAAAATTTCCATGTGACTTTTCTTCTCTGTACGACTTCCACAGAATTATAAATTGAGGTATTTGGTATAATTTCAGTTTCAGGTTTTACGTCATTTTTTTTCAATTTGTGCTAAGAATGCATAGTTAATTGATTTTTCAAATTCACTTCTTGGCTCTTGCTGTTTTATATATATATATATATATATTTCATATATATATCTCACATGCCCCTCTCTGACCACCTCCTGTCAAAATTGCCCTTCTATCCAATTAATTTCTCATCAAACCGTGTTCCAGAATGCGATTTTTAAAAATTAGGCTCAGTAAGTCCAGACAATGGAAAAATAAATACAATGTTGTACTTCAATCCATTGTCACAATCCATCGTGTTAGAAAAGTAGACAGAAAAGACAAAAAAGAAGCAAACTAAAAATCTAATTGCTTTTATTGGTATCCCCAGTGCCCAAAATGGGGAAATCCGTGCAGCAGAGGAGAAAATAATACATTCAGACACAAGCGTCAGGCCGAAGCATCCGCGCGTTTGGGATCCCGCTGGGCTCCCGAGCCCGTCGAAGGGTGAGGAACCCACACCGCCCCGGGAAGAGCGAGGCTCTCTTGTAACCAGTAACTTAGGTGCAAATTACAAATGTGGACACCGAGTGTAGCTGTATAGGTTACATTTTTTGGACACAATGTAAAAACGCACAGGTGCGTGTGCACGCGCCCGGGTGTGGATTAAGCGCTGTCCCGGACTCGAGCCCGGCCGCCCGACCGGCCCGGCTTAGCCGGCCCCGAGGAGGCCGAGCGCGGCGCCCGGGACCCCGCCCGGCTCGGAGCAGGGAAGGGGTCGGGCCCGGGCTCCGCGAACGGAGGGGCGCGGAACGGGAACCGTGTGCGGAGGCCACCGGGGCATTCGCTGCGCACCCACCTTGGGGCAGCCGCACGCAGCTTTCCGAGTTCCAAGTTCTCATTTGCGTGGGTGAAAAAAAAAAAAAAATCCTGCCCCGACTCAGGCTTACGCAACTTTCTGAGTGGAGAGGGGGAAAAACTGGTGTGTGGGGGGCAGGGGCAGGCGGAAAGGAACAGTCATGTCATCACGTGGGCCCGGATTTCGTGCATAAAAGGAGGGTTCCCTTGGTTTTCCTCCAGTTGTCAAACTTGTTGCAGCGAGCGTCTGGAGCAAGCCCAGCAGCACGCCCAGCAGCTCCGCCCGCCAGCAGCCCGAGCCGCAGCCGCAGCCGCCTCCGTCCGCCCCGCGCTCCGCCCGCCGCGATGCTCGCCCGCGCCCTGCTGCTCTGCGCAGCCCTGGCGCTCTGCCAGGCAGGTGAGGACCCGGCGCCCGCTGCTTCCGCGCCGCTCTCGCTCTCGGTGCGGCCGGCGCTCTGCCTACCCTCCCGGCGGGGACTGCACGCGTTAGCAAAGACTAGCCCACCCGAGTGCGAGAGAACCAGGGGCGCCTTCCAGTGCGGGCCCCACCTCTGGGCTCCCGACCGCTTTCTTCCCGGCCCGAGGCTTCCCCTCATCTCTGACGAGGCAGTGGTGATTGTCTTTATGGGGAAGCAGATCTGCTGCGTATCTGTGAAATGCAGGAGTGCGGTGCCTATTGTTGTCGAATGGGAATGATTGTTTTAAATATCCTCCTCAGAGCTTCTTGCCCGGAGAAAGACCCGGTCACCTTTTAAAGATAAGAAAAGAATTTTTTAAAATAAGCTGATTTTTCTTGGAATTTTTTCCTAAATTCTGATGGATGTTCTAAACCCACCCATTTTCATTTTGAAAGTGCTCCTTCCTTGAGCTTTAAAATGTTAATTCGAACATCTAAAAAGTTAAGTAGGAACAGGTTTAGGAATGTGAATTGTCAAGTTGAAAATTCCGTTACTCTTCAGTATTTCAGAACAGGAAATTTCTACAGTTTAAACATCCTGCAAGTGGAGTTTTAAAAGGTTGTTTTCCCATGCCTGATGCGTACTTAGGGAAACAATCAAATGTGTTAGGTCCAAACGAAGACCCCAAGAATGACTTGTGCGCTGTGCTTACTGTCACTGTAGCCAGTCCTTGCTGTTCCAATCCGTGTCAGAACCGAGGAGAGTGTCTCAGCGTGGGATTCGACCGCTACCAGTGCGACTGTACCCGGACAGGGTTCTACGGTGAAAACTGCACCACGCGTAAGTTTGCCCCTGGTTTTCCTCACGGGGAACTGGGCCACAGTTATCATCTCACGGAGATGTGTCTTCATGGCCAGCCCCGTTAACTTCTTTTTCCTCTGTCTTCTCGCAGCTGAATTTCTAACAAGAATAAAATTACTGCTGAAGCCCACTCCAAACACAGTGCACTACATACTCACCCACTTCAAGGGAGTCTGGAACATTGTCAACAACATTCCCTTCCTGCGAAATTCAATCATGAGATACGTGCTGACGTGTAAGTACCAGTCTTTTTCAAAGTTTTGTTGCTTCAAAGAAAAATGTGCTTTATAATACTGTAAATTACTAATCCAAAAAGATTTCTTTTCCTATTTTTGGTTTTTTGAGACAGGGTATTGCTATGTATGTAGTTCAGGTTGGTGCTGAACTCATTACATAGCCCAGGCTGGCCTCAAATGCAGGGTGATCCTCCTGCCTCCGCCTCTTAAGTGCTGGAATTATAGGCATGGGCCACCAAACCCGGCCTCCAAAAAGATATTTCTAATGGTATCCAAATGATTTTTAATATACCATTTTTAATGTGCCTTCTATCTCAAAGGTCAAAAATATAGACATTTAGTCCTATCCAGTTTATGTAGTTCTGTCCCATGGTCAGAATTGCTCACAAGTCTGCCTAGCTCTAACAGTCAATGTTGTGGCCAATTTGAGAAGGAAGTGTGGTCCACTTAGGAGCTACATTCCCAGCTGTGTTTTAAGACAGGGTCTTGCTAAGGTGTTAGATTGCCTCGGTTGGACTAGAACTTTCAATCTTCCTGTCTCAGCTTCCCTGGGTGCTGGGATTGCAGGCATACACCCAGCGACCTTTTAAATGTTTAAATTGGGTTTAAGCAGCAGGAAAATAACTGAGTAGTTCTCAACCCTTCTCATCATAGGCCTCCTGTGCAATGAGTGGCATCAAGTTTGCCAGAGCATGATGTCCTATGTGAAGCAATATATATTGTATTGAAGATGAACCTTCAGTGGCAGATGCACTTTTATGTGTAGTTATTTAGAAATAGAATATCTTTGATTTGTTTTCTTATTTCTGGTTTTCTGAGACAAGGTCTCACTCTGTAGCCTGGCCTGGCCCTAATTTGCCACTGGCCGAGGCTGTCCTTGAACTGGCCATCGATCTCCCTTTCTCAGCCTACCAAATGTTGGAATTACAGGTGTATGCTATCATGCTTGGCTGAAACATACTCTAGTATATTTGTTGGAATTAAATTCAATATTTGTGCCACTTTCCACATTTTACAATAAGAATATGCAATGATTTGTGTTGCATAGAGGGGCCAGTAAAATAATTTTTTCCTTGAAACTTTCAGCCAGATCACATTTGATTGACAGCCCACCAACTTACAACTCGGATTATGGCTACAGAAGCTGGGAAGCCTTCTCTAACCTTTCCTACTACACCCGAGTCCTCCCTCCTGTGGCGGATGACTGCCCCACTCCCATGGGTGTGAAAGGTGAGTGGGAAGGCATGTAGCAATGGCAAAACCCCTGCTGGAAGAAAATTTGACCTTAAATGACCATTTATTTGTTAACAACAGTATAGTTTTTCCTTTTATTTTGAATATTCACAAAGTTCCAATATATATAAACTATCTCACCAAAGTATCATTAAAATTGAAATAGTGCCAGGTAAAGTAGATAAAATCATTTACTGAGACACTGCCCCCGTGTTATCATCCTCCCGCTTATATCTCAGGGTCCTCTGCAGGACCTCATTGAGCTTGTAGGTGATGAGGGCCACTTCCTGCCTCCTTGCAGGCAGAGATGGAGTTTTATCTTCATCCTCTCGTTTCTTCAGGGAAGAAGGAGCTTCCTGATTCAAACAAGGTTCTGGAGAAAGTTCTTCTGAGAAGAAAGTTCATCCCTGACCCTCAAGGCACGAATATGATGTTTGCCTTCTTCGCCCAGCACTTCACCCATCAGTTTTTCAAGTCAGATCCGAAACGCGGACCAGCTTTCACCACAGGACTGGCCCACGGGGTAAGCCAGGGGAACCCAGAGCTAGAGCATAACCGAACGCTCAGCTTGTGCCCTACCAATAATTCACCCTCATTAAAAAAAAGTCATGTCTATGTCTATGTCTATGAAAACCTTAGTAGCTTTTCCATTTTAATTTACTGGTTTAACAAAACTGTATACGTATAAATACATACGTACATGCATAGGGTTTTTTTTTTTTATTTGTAGGGGTTTTTTAACTTTTTTGTTTAAAACTTTAGCGTTGCAAAATATTAAAGCTTCTAAAACATCTGTACCATGATTATGGGAGTTTAATTGTGAGATTTTTACATTACTATTTCTTGGATTTCATAACATAATTTCAATTTATAGTTTTAGATCAATAAGACACTTTTAACGCTTTTTTAGGTTTTTATTTTTTGGGTTTTTTGAGACAGGATCTCGCTACGTCATTCAGGCTGGCCTTGAACTCACTATGTAGCTCAGGTTGACCTGGAACTTGCTGAGATCCTCCTGCCTGAGCCTTCTGAGTGCTGGAATTACAGGCTTGCATCACCACACCCAGCTGCCTAATGCTTTTTTTAGAAATACCATATGATTATAGTGAAGCATATGATATACTTAGGGGCTATATGGGATACTAATACATTTAAACACAACAGCTTGTAGCCTTGGTAGATAAACTAATTTAGTATTTTGTGGCTATAAAAATTGTTTTATTTGAAAATTTACAGACAACTGAATCACTAAAATTTAATGATTAAATTATGTAAGACTGTTGAACAGCAACAAACTGAAATTTTTCCATAATTTTCTAGGTGGACTTAAGTCATGTTTATGGTGAAACTCTGGATAGACAGCATAAACTGCGCCTTTTCAGGGATGGAAAAATGAAATATCAGGTATGTTCCCTTTGATTATTAAGACGTAGTTATAACTTACCATCTAGAATGAGATTTCAGAATCTCCAGTAATAAAACATTTTAAAACTTTGTTTAATATTATTGTTTTTTAGATAATTGATGGAGAGATGTACCCTCCCACAGTCAAAGATACCCAGGTACAGATGATCTACCCACCCCACACCCCTGAGCACCTGCGCTTCGCCGTGGGCCAGGAGGTCTTCGGCCTAGTGCCCGGTCTGATGATGTATGCCACCATCTGGCTGCGGGAACACAACAGAGTGTGCGACGTGCTTAAACAGGAGCATCCGGAGTGGGATGATGAGCGTCTGTTCCAGACAAGCAGGCTAATACTGATAGGTGAGAAGGGAAAATAATTTAAATGAAACCCTCTCCCCCAGAGAAAACTACTTTGCTACTTTCACTGTTTTGAGTAAGTTGGAGAGAATAGTGAATAAGAAAAGACACTACTAATTTATTCCAGGAGCACGACTAATCAAATGTATTTCCATTGCTTGAAACAGAAAGAATTAATGTTTTTATTTCTTTATTTTGTGCAAATAGGAGAAACAATTAAGATTGTGATTGAAGACTACGTACAGCACTTGAGCGGTTACCACTTCAAACTGAAGTTTGACCCAGAGCTGCTTTTCAACCAACAATTCCAGTATCAGAACCGCATTGCTTCTGAGTTCAACACACTCTACCACTGGCATCCCCTTCTGCCTGACACCTTTCAAATCCACGACCAGGAGTACAACTTTCAACAGTTTCTCTACAACAACTCTATGTTAGTGGAACACGGACTTACCCAGTTTGTTGAATCATTCACCAAGCAAATTGCTGGCAGGGTAAGGATTATTACTAAAAAGTAAATCAGAAGACTGGTCAGTAACTCAGATTTCTGCTACAGAAATTATTTTTCTTAAAAGTCCTAAAAGAATGATCAGTTATTTTGCTTAATTTCTTGAAACAAGAAGCCTAAAATTTTTTGAAAAGTCTAATGTTTGAGTTTATAGTTGTCAAGCAAATAATGATACGTACCATAGCTTAAAAATAGGCATTTTCAAAAACTTTGTATGCTCTTATTATATAAATAATATTTAATAATAGATATAAATAGTATAATTAATAGAAATAATTGTTTCAGACTTAAACATCAGCTTCACTTTTTATAATCTTAAAAGACAAACTGTTTCTAGACCAGTGTCCATTGAATCTTAAGTACACCTTCTGGTGAAATATGTGTAAGCAGTCTGTCCCCGAAATAAAGATAGTTCAGGTCTCTTACCTTCTTTGTACCTAAAGAATGTTATTAAAGCAGAAGGAGTAAATGCACCTAACAACTTGCTTCACACTTTCTTTCATTTTCCACAGGTCGCTGGTGGCAGGAATGTTCCACTTGCAGTACAAAAGGTGGCAAAGGCTTCCATTGACCACAGCAGAAACATGAAATACCAATCTCTGAATGAGTACCGCAAACACTTTTTGTTGAAGCCCTATGCCTCATTTGAAGACCTTACAGGTGAGAATCAGTTTCTACACTTCTTGAAAGAATCGAGGGTCAAATGGAGACAACAGAGAAGTTAAGTGGGGAAATACAAGATGTCTTATTTTGTGAGGTTTCTCATTGGTTGTATTTCCGCCTTCATCACCTCTTCAGGAGAGAAGGAAATGGCTGCAGAGTTGGAAGCCCTCTACGGTGACATTGATGCTGTGGAGCTGTATCCCGCCCTGCTGGTGGAAAAGCCTCGGCCAGACGCTATCTTCGGTGAGACCATGGTGGAAATGGGAGCTCCGTTCTCCTTGAAAGGACTCATGGGTAATCCCATCTGTTCCCCACACTACTGGAAGCCGAGTACTTTTGGAGGAGAAGTAGGTTTTAAGATCATCAACACTGCTTCCATCCAGTCTCTCATCTGCACTAATGTGAGGGGTTGTCCTTTCACATCGTTCAGTATTCCAGATCCTGAGCTTGCCAAAACAGTCACCATTAACGCAAGTGCTTCCCACTCTAGACTGGAGGACCTCAACCCCACAGTACTGCTAAAAGGACATTCACCGGAGCTATAGGAGTCTGTCATGCATATTTATTTATTTATAAAAACCATTTCTTGTAAATTATTTAATAATATTTATATTAAGTGCCTTGTGTTACTTAACATCTGTGACAGAAGGTAGTGTGCTTGTTGCAGTGGAACGGGTCATACTTCTGACAACTCCTTTAAACACTACTTTAGAGGTGTGTTTATTTCACGTTAAAGGAGAAAGTAGTTTTCAGTCTTTTGTATAAACCAGTGGGAAATGATTTTTGACATCTTTTTACTTGAATTTCAATTTATATTGTAAGAAGAATGAAAGCAAAGATGTTCGAACACTTCAATGCTGTTACATAACAGCAAAATGCTGCAGATTTCTACACTGTCTTATGTCCGATGCATTAGAAACAACTAAGGTTGGGGAATTTTAATGAAATTTTGGACATCTAATTGTCAAAAAAGTGTACAAGCACATTTTCAAATGAATATTTAAAGCATACACTGCCAATAATTTTATATTTTTTAAAGCAGCCTTGAAATAATAATTTGAAATTTGCAGAATATTTTATATAAAGAGATTCCAGAGTTCATGTGACTAATAACAATTAAATCTATAGAAGCAAAAGATTCTATATTTAAAATAAAAACAAAGAAGAAACCAAATTGAAATTCAAATTTGGGTTTAAGCATTTGAAGGAGACTCTATCATATTCTTGTGTACTGCAGGCCTGGTCTTGAGCAGATTTTGCTGTGAAGTTAATTAATTGCCAAGTGTGGCTGTGCACACCTGTAATCCCAGCATTTGGGAGGCTGAGACAAGAGGATCACAATGAGTTCAAGGCCATCCTGGACTACATATGTCAGGGCTGCCTGAACTACACACCAATATCCTCTCAAAAAAAAAACAAAGTAATAATGAATTACTGATGCATTTGGATAATGATTTTCTGTTAAATAGTATGAATTAGATGTCTACATCACAGTGCAAAGAGTAACAATGACCTCATGAAAAGTCTCTACAAAATACTTAAATCCATTTTATACATTAATTTTATCTAAATAAGCCAATTTAATATTGCATTTGAAATCAAACCAGACTATCTTCATGCTGCTCCTTTTTTTTTCTTGTAGCCATTTGGCTAAAAGAAATCCTCCTGATCAGTTTATTCTATTTTTTTTCCTAATTTTAAAATCAGAGCTCCTCTACCTTTGAACTCTTAATATTTTCTTACTTGAACTTTTGCACATTTTCAGGCAAACCTCAGCTCAGGACTACTGTTTAGCTCCTCTTAGGAAGAATAAAAGAAAAGAAATTCCCCTTCAAAAACTTTACCTATTTTAAGTAAAGGGAAAGAATTTTATTTATAATTAATTTTAACTATTTATAATGAAGAACCCTACAAAGAGGCTGGAACCTTAGCAGGAGCTGCAAGATGTTCTTGACAGGAAGAAAGTTACATCCTGTTCTAATAATGGCCTCTCTCATTTGAATGCAAAAGCAAGGTCTGGGATGTAGCTCAGTGGTACCATGCCTGCCTTGCAAACACAAAGTCCTGAGTTCGATCCCCATATAAGGAAAAAAAAAAGCAAACAATTACTGAGTAGTCCTGAGCATTAATAATACAAATAAAGTACTAATGATGATAGCTTTCCGCATCTCATTGTCAGCTGACAATTTATGGTACTGTATCTTACTATAATTTATTGAGAGTTATTATTTATGTTTTATTAGGGTATTATTGTTATAAATGATATTTAAGCCTGAAAATAATTTCTTTCATTATGCCAGGATCAATATATCTTTTTCATGATTACCTCTCTGAATTATTATGTACAATCAAAAGAAATGATTGAATTAAGATTTGTGAATAAATTTTTAGGAAACCAATTGTGGTATATTGAGATGTGTAATGTTGGAATTGATGTCTTTAGGATTTACCTGTATGCTGGACCACAGGGGACCTTAGCTAATCTGAATATGCCTTAAAGACTGAACTACGGTTCATTTTTGAAGGACCTGTGGATTCTTCGTTGATTCATTCAACCATAATTTGTTAAGAAAATATTCTGTTTTAGTATTTTTAAATCAAGCACTGATCATAGATAATAGCAGTATTTGTGTAAATGAATGAAAATATATGTCTCTTAGAAAGGAGAAGAAAAGGGCACAAATTATTAAAGAGAAATAACTCAGGAAATTTTTTTCTTTAAGATTTTATGTTTAAAAGATTTAAGGTTAAGAAATAGTCAATATTAGAAATGCTTCTATGAAAAAAGCTGTTAACTTCATTGGTTTTTTGTTGTTTTTGTTTTTTGTTTTGAGACAGGATCTCACCATGCAGTTCAGGGTGTTCTTGAACTCTCTATGCAGCCCACGCTGGCCTTGAACTACTGGTGATCCTCCTGCCTCAGCTTCCCGAGTGCTGGGATTACAAGCATGAGCTACCATGCTTGGCTTTTTCTTTAATTTTTATTTTATTTCTGGACAAAAAGCAAACAACTTAATCATCACTAACATCAACCTGGTGACTGATGCTGGAAATTCAGGTTGTGTATGTGACTGTCTCACTGCCTCAAACAAATGTGTATTTAAATTAACTGATGTTGCTGGGGACTTAGCTCAGTGGTTCCGGCACCTGCCTCGCAAGCGCAAGGTCCCAAGTTCAATCCCCGGTGCCAAAATAAATAAATAAATTAACTGATGTAAAATATGTCTTGAAACAAACATCTGTTTATTTTTATACTGTTTAGAAATTGAAAAATCTTTTCTGAAAATAAATTTTGACTGTTTCTATATATCTTTGTTGTATGCATATGATTTCTCTGAAGCATGGTCTTCAAAATAAACCTTTACCTTTCGGTCTATTCAAAACGAGGCTGCCCCTTAATGAAACTGTTCTGCACTTTGTCATCTAGAAGCTCCCTCCAGCCACTTTTTTCTCTTATTCACTGCAAAACTGTGTTGGAAAATGTGTGCTTTATGATACAGAAGATGGCAACAATGTTATTTTCATTCCCTAATCTAGAAGAAGAAAGCAGATTACCCAAAAGCAAAGGACAAATGTTACTAAGGATGCAAAATTTAAAAAGGAAGTTAAAAAAGGGAAAGAAAGGTGAACTCAGAGTGGTTCATGCCTACGATCCCAGCACTCTGGGAGGCTGAAACAGGAGGAGGATCTTGAGTTTGAGCCCAGACTGGGAAACTTTGCAACTTTGTGAGACCCTGTTTCAAATAAAAGGTTTTTTAAAAGCTGAGGATGTAGCTCAGTGTGCAGGCCCTAGGTTCAATCTCCCATACCACTAAAGGAATATTAGACTTGGCCAAATCACTGAAACTTTCCACACTAGCTTTCTTCATGTTCTTAGGTTGGACACCTTGGTAATTTCAGTATCTCCACTGACCACGAATTTAACATCTTGCCTGGCAACTGTGCTGGCCACCTCCTGTCCAGTGACAGTCTTCCGCTGTGATCCCCAGTCAGACAGACCTGATCTCATCAGTGCACCGCCTCCAAAATCCTCATCTGAAACACACTCCTCTGCTACCGACAGCCCATCTATTTTAACATTCACACTCCAACATCTAAGGCCACTTTCCCTGACCCTGCTGATCCAGCAAACTCGTCACTCCATTATTCAGCACGCTTTTCATTTCTCCATTGCCTTCCTCATGCACCTCGCTCCAATCATTACTAACTTCATTCCCTTGCCCATTGTCATCACTCCATTCATTGTCCCTCTATTGTACTTCACTGGCACAACTTACTTAATTTCAGCCATTCTCCTAATGTGCTTCTTATCTGACTTTTCAGTAACATTCAACACACGTGGAATTTTTTCGTCTAGCTTCATGATTTGATGCCCTCCTGGTCTTGCTCCACCTTTATCCGGTGCTACCTTCAGTCTTTGCTTTTAAGCCCCTCCTTCTCGGCTGTAGCTATAGGTTGAAGTGTTTTCATCCCTTCCTTCTTTGTCTGTAGTCTTCCAGGTTAATCACTCCAAACTCATAATTTGAAACAATAATCACTCCCAAATTTATGCCTCCATGGCCAACTTCTAATCGTCAACTGACAACCTCTTCATTCAGAGTCTTAAGTATAATGGCTTATTTTACATCTCTGTCCTTACTGCACCATATATACCAAATAATAATCATTTAAAGATACTATTATCAGGGCTGGGGATTTAGCTCAGTGGTTCCACCACCTGACCCACAAGCGCAAGGACTCAAGTTCAATCCCCAGTACCAAAAAAATTAAAATAAAATAAATAAAATAAAGATACCACTATCTCTACACCCTACAAATCCTAAATACATTATCTTTTCTTCAACTCTACTACTACCAATCTTGTTAGTTCAATGGGCTCTTATTTGGCGCTTTCTTTCTAGTCTTTCCTCACAACAAACCGATCTCTTTTTGGTAGTGAGGGTAACCATTTTTTCAATTTTATTTTAAAGAGGCATTTTTAAAAGAGCACACTCAAAGAAAAGAGAGTGTGGGGCCTTAAGAGAACAGCATAGTATAGTCTGGAACTGAGATGTTTATGGTGAGAGGGTGGAAACATGTGGAATTGTGAATCTACAGGAAGTTCTGCCTTATTTTAAAGGACAGAGAAGGGCCCATTCATAGATAGAAAGATATTGGCCCATTTTATAGGAGAAAGGCATGGGCCTAGGTGATTTTATGATTATTTTTACAATGAGTGATCTGTTTTCCCCAAGTTCTTTGAAGTATTTAAATTTGTTCCCTATTTTAAGGTCAGGTTTCTGCCCTGTATCTTATCAACCAAGCTATTTTATGGACTTGTAATATCTTTAAGGAATTTGGGGTATGATAAGCCAGTGAAGAAAAAAAAAGCACAAACAAACATAGGGAGTAGAGATACTGATAACCCTGGGTAAATCTGATTGTGTCCTGAAATTGCTGTCTTCTTAGAAGTACAATGTTTAAATTATCATTTTCTTGTCTCCTTTCTACTTATCTCATTTCTCCTATCTTGCCTCATCCCTGTGTCCTTAGACTCCACTCCCTTATTCTCAAGGGATGAGGAGGGACCAAAGATCAGATGTCATTTGTTTATGGCTGCTTCAGGTTGCAGAGTGTGCTAACCCTGCCTAGTTGAGATCAAAAGTCTCATTCTGGTATGAAAGAGATAAAGAAAGGTGAGTTTTATGACTCTGATAGTAAAAGTCATGGTCTTGCTGCCTTTTTGTCTCCTGCAAAGGAAATGTCACCCAACAGAGTTGGAGGAAGCCCCTCAGAGCAGAGATGGGGACTCTTGACTCACCCCATCCCTGGGGCAGGTTGCAAGTTCACTGACTGAATTTTCAGGATCCATTAGTAAGAGGCATAAAAAGGTTTATTAGGCACAACTTAAAAACTCAAAGACAATAGAATGTAGGCCTTAAAAGAGAAGCTGAGAGTAATCATTTTTAAATATAAATCAGATCATGGCTCTTTTATGGTTAAAATTGTCCACTGGCTTCCTACTTACATAATGGACAAATACAGTGTAACAGCTTACTCTATCCTGTGAGGATCTTAGTGGTCCACACCCTGCCCACCTGTCTGACATCCTTTTCTGTTGCTGTAACAGAACACCTAAGACTCAGAGGCCTGGAAGAGCAGAAGGGCGGGAGGGCTGAGCATACAGAGGAGGGGTCACCACAGTAGCTAACTCCCTGGTAGAGGCAGGGAACTCCATTAATCCAATGGGCTGAAGCCCCCTGATCCAAAAACTTCCAAAGGCCTCACTACCTCTTAAGATTGTCATAGTGATAATTAAATTTCAACATAAGTTTTGCTGAGGATAAACCACATCCAAACTCCGGGAGCACTGTTGACCCTTATGCTCCTCATGTTACCTTTTTTGTCATTTGTTCACTGGTAATGAACCTCAAAATGTCGGCCTTGGTTAGAGTGTTTTCTTGTGTAGATTTTTTATGTGGTTGTATCCTTCCTAGCATTTAGATCTTTTTTTTTTTTTTTTTGGTACTGGGGATCGAACTCAGGACCTTGCACCTGCTAAGCAGGCACGGTGCCACTGAGCTAAATCCCCAGCCCCATTTAGATTTTATTAGCGCAAATTTTTTCTCTCCAGATAGGTTGTCTCCAACCACCTAAACTAAAGCAACTCCTAAGTCTGTTTAACTTTCTTCATACAATTTATTTTTTCCATAACATTTATTTTTATC